GAAGATCATCCTAAGGATCTTGTTCTGGATCCTTTGGAGTTTGAGGTGATGGCATTTAGCACAGCTCTCCCAGATTGGTGTTTTGTACTCAATGGTGGGGAGGATGATTTGCTTGTTGACGGCAAGCTTCCCAAGTAGCAATTGGGGTTTTATGAGGGTTCTGCAGACTATGATTTAGACTTGTAGCATGCTTTAAAACCGTGATGAAACTTGCAATGTTACTTGGGTTGCTTTTAAGGGAAAGGGTGGACTTTCTGATAAGTGGATAGGGCGACCTAGGAGGATAGGACCAAGGAGACTACCCTGGGGAACCCCAGTGTCAACGTATCAGAAGGTGAATTGTTCAACAAGACCTGGAATTTGTTTTTGATGATCTTAACAAGGAAGATCGGGAAGTTGTATCGATGTAGCTTATACACTAGGCCATCATGCTAGAAATTGTCGAACGCCTTCTCAACGTCCAACAATGCCATGGAAATGTATTCGAAATAAACTTGTTCCATTTGATGATGTTAGTAACCCGTGCAAGATGGTGGCTTTTCCTAAACTCAAATTGATTTGAGAAAGATGTTATTATTATTAGAAAACACCATCAGACAGCAGTTCTTGGTTGATTTAATGGCTGTTAACAACTCATCAGCCGATATTCTACTTTCGTCAGGGATAACTACGGGGGTGGCAGCGTCTCTAGACATTGCCTCCGATACTGAAGGCTCGTGGGGACTCACCATGGCTTTGTTTTCTCTGTTCGGGACATTAAACCACTGCAACCAGTTGTATTATATCCCGTGTCCTTAGTTTAGTGCATGTTGTATTACTCCATCACTATTGAGAAATGATGAAGTATTCGGTTTTGACACAGTTGCCATTTTTGCCTTCATCGCAAGGAATCTATTATAATTGAAAGGTCCCGCTATTTTTACCCTTCGAAGAGTGAGAGCACCCTCCAAAGGCACGCCCCTTTGTCAGTCAAAATTAGATTCCTTAGCAACAAACTTAAACAATGACACCAATAATGACCATACATCAGAACCCAAGTCTTAACCACTTCAACCTAGGGAACAACGAATAGAAGATTAGGAATCACATAGATAAAGACTAACTAGCTCATGGTTTCCTTGTTTCAAGATAATCCTAGGTGGACAAAGCCGAGGCTTGTCACTACCAACAAGGCATAAAAAGTAACAAGGACTTAGATGTGTTACTTTGATTTCTGAAAAATCCTGTTCCCCTGGTTTGAAGTACATCCCGCAACGGCCAAGGTTATGAGAATTAACAAAGTGTTGACCAAGAGCATTGGTCTTTTCAACTGGCGTTAAGAGTAAAGATTGATCCGAATTCTGATTAAGAGGGGAAAGGGAGGGGAAAGGGAAGGGATGGGTCTCGGTTATTTTTTTTTAATCTTTGCCATTTTCTAGAACGGCTTAGCACAATGTGGGAGAGAGCGAATTTTGTTTGTAAAATAGTTATTTCTGATATCCACCTACCTGGCTTAAATGATTTTGTTCAAACGGTTAAAATTGGTCTTCAGATGAGGCAGGCCAGTCCGCTGGTACTGCCTACAAATGGTGTTGCGGAGTCTTTAGTGGGCCTGTCAAGGTTCAGAGTGGGCCGGAAAATCTACCGGGTGGGAGTGTCCGGACTCAAGATTTTGTACTGCGTTTCTTGCAGATCATTGTACAGGAGGGTGCCATTTTGGTTGCGCTGACTGTTTCTCCAAGCATGATGTTTGGTGTTCAAATCGCCAGCGATGATGAAGTTTTCCCGCCGTCGTGACAATATCTCGCCGCAGGTCTGCTGCCGACCCGTCCCTGATGTTGACTTGTTTGCGTCAGTAAGCCGCAATGGTGGTGATGGGATCGACAGGAGTAGAAACTTCCACCCCTACGGCTTCGATGATCTTCAGTTGGAAGCTTGGCAGTAGCCGACAGTAGTTGTTCCTCCTTAGAGCGATGACCCCTCCTCCTCCCCCGTAGCTGGTTCGATCCAGCCTCACAAGCCGGAAATTGGTAAGGAAGACGTTAATCTCGGCCTTCAGGTACACTCGCGAGCATAAGTTTAAGGACACCCCCAAAAAAACATGACACATTTGTTATGTTCATATCTCTGTCATGTTCCGTTAAATTTTCGTTCTCTTAAGATCATTTGAAAGGTATTGAATGGAACTTTCCTAATTTCCAAATTGCTCAATATAATTTTCAAATTTTGTGTGCTAAAAGTTCACCCAAAGTTACAATATTTTTCAAAATTTACTCTGAAGAATCGTGACTGATTTTCTCAGAATTGGGTTGGCCAAATTTTGAAATAAAAGTAGTAGTAGAACACTATGCTATACCATTCATACCATTCAAATAACCTTTGGAGATCGACAATTGAACAAAACATATTTGCATGGTTTTTTGGGGTGTCCTTAAACTTATCATCGGTAGTGTACATTTCGGTGATGATGGCAATATCGATGTTTCGTTCGTTGAGGAATTCTAGATGTTATTGCTAGCAAGCGTTCAAATTGGAAATTTTGATGGCTTCACGGTCCATACTTATTGATGAGGGATACTGCAGCATGAAGCTGTTCTGTTCGGGTCTTGCGTTGTAAACAGAGTGTCTGTGTTCTCAATGGTTGGTGAAGGGGGAGCACCTTTCTGCTGTCACGATAAGGAGGTGGAGAGGTGCTTCGACAGGCAGCGGTTGCCGCATATGACTGTTGACTCCAGTTTACAGGACTGTTAGGCACCCTAGCTGTAGGCGGGACCGGTTGTTGAGTGGAAGTGGCGGAAGCACCGGCATTTAGCGCCGTTGCACGATGGCAGGAAAGTTCTGTCCGTTATTTTCTGGCACTCTTCTGCGGCCAGGATGATTCTTCGTAGAGGTTTTATTGTGGATAGCAATGTCTTGCTGGTTGCCCGATGTACTGCACCACAATTGGCACATTTGAGGTCTGCTTCCTCCAATAATTCGCAGATATCAGGTCCGTGTTACTTTACAGCGGAAAGCCTGAACAGCATGCAGTTCGCGCATTGAGTGACATCACGGTGGATTGGCTTGTACTGTTCCTAAATCGTCACGATGTGGAAAAATGCCCGAATGCTCTGAAGGTCCCTCAAGCATGTTCAATTCCTTTCCAGGTGGACCAGATACAGTTGGTCACGGTACTTACGTGAAGCGTCATGACGATTTATCTTGAAAATTTGGATCGGCTTGAGTTCATGTTGCAAGTGTGACTGTTTCCATGTCTGTTTCAGCACCGCCTCAACGGCCTTGTAGTGGTTCATTGCTGGAACCATCAGCTTGATGCCTACACATGCACATGGTGCACTTGAGACCTTTACCAATGTAAAAGTCGAGTTTCTACCGCAAATCTTCTGGGAATCCTTTCACGAAGAACGGTATAACATTCTCCTTCTTTTCCAGGTCGAAGTTTTCCAGGATGGCGTAACGATTGTTGGCCAACAGCTTCTTCCATGCCAATTGTGCACTGGTGGTGTCCGATGGAGATCGTTTCCCGCTTGAAATAGCAGTCGCGTCAACACGCGGTGGTTTTCCCATGCTGGGGTCGGACGATTCTTCACCAAACACCACGAAAAAGGAATGGTGAACAACTCGAGAGAGCGAGTAGAAACCGAACTGTACCGCCTGACGGTCAAGCAGTGAATGATCTCGACATACAGTACTCTAAACGCGAGGACTTTAAACACATCCGAAAGCAGTCATTAATCGATAACCAACCAGGAAGGAGAATGGAAAAAACGTCAGCTTTCAGGGCGGAGGATTTCCCGTCTCTTAAGCTGGGTTTAGACTAGGCAAGTCAAATGATCAACTCAGTTGAATTCAATTGGCTTGAAAAGTTGAGCCTGGTTCAACTTATTTCTCAAATCAAGTGAGTTGATTAAATCAGTTGAATGGCATGGTTTACACGATCAATTGGCATTCAAGGCAGTTGAATTCAATAGACTTGATCAATTGACTTGGCCTGTCTAAACCCAGCTTTAGTGCTCTTCGTAAGTGGCGCAATAATCCCGAGCAGATTCAAGTCTTTGGTAAGTTTATCATCCAGTAAGGCGTCTAAGCCGCTAACTATCGTCACCTAGAATGTTTTTTTTCTTTTTCCTCTGTTTGGGACCTAACACTACTACAGTTGTTATTATTGCATTTATCGCAAGGATCGGATTCTAATTGAAAGGTCCCGCTCTTTATACCCTTCGGAGTGTTGAAACACCCTACAAAAGCGCTCCCCTTTGTCAGTCAAAATTAAATTCCTTAATAACAAAATTAATTGTTTCAAGATCATCCTCGGTGGGGAAAGCAGAGTCTTGTCACTATCAACAAGGCATAACCAGTAACAAGGCTCCTTTGATTATTAAGAAATCCTGTTCCCCAAGTTTGAAGTAGTCAGGACTAGGAATCGGTGGAAAATCTTACATCCCGTAACGTACCGCGAAAAGGTGATCTACCCACGTAACGGGGCACCTGGAATTCTTACTCTGAGCAAAACAGATTGAGCTTGCATTTAAGCATACACACGAAATTCGACTTGTTGGCAACTCAAATGCAGGGAACTGATTGTGATTCGAACTATAAGCGATTAGCTTCGTATTGTTCACAAAAAACGAGCGTGCACGAATGATTTTCATACTTAGAATACTAAGGCAGCTTACGTTAGAAATCCAGTTCATGTATTATACAAATTATGCGAGTAATGTTGATATAAAACCTGAAGGCTTGCAATACCAAAGTTATGCACAATTCACGAACAAAGTGCTATTGTTAAAAAACTACTTTCAGTGTATATTAAAAATAGCAGAGTTAAATGCCCTACTATTTGTAAATTATTTCGATTACTGTATTACAGAATCCATATAAACGGTGGATTTATTATAGGATTTGCATTGAGAAACTGTAAGAGCAGCAAGCATGTATCAGTTAAGTGTTGTTTTTGGTTTTCTTTTTGTTTAAATATAATTGTTGCTGAAAACTACAATTGGTTACTGTACAGGATCTAATATTCAGCAGTTTATTTTATTCATCGATTTCACTTTTTGTAAAAACGCCTATATCGCCAGTGTTGATCTTTCTGATTTCTTCTTTGATCCATTCGGTGTGCAAGCTGTTTCTAACATAGACTCCAGGAATATCAGTCTGCCCACAGCCGATTCCCCACGCAACGATACCAGCTTGGTAGTATTTGTTCTGAAAACCCGGCACTGGACACATTAGAGGTGATCCACCATCCCCGGTACAAGTATCCACTCCGTCTTGTCCACCGGCACAGATGAAGGATTCATGCAGTCGAAACTTCGGGCCTAGATTCGTGGTTTTCAGTGCCGATTGGCAATCGTGTTTAGAAACCATGGGAAGCTGAATCTTTTTCAAAATAGCTTGTGAATTTTCTGAGACAAAATCTGCTTTTCCCCAACCAGTTGCGAAACAACTGTTACTATTGAAAGCCAAATTCTGCGGTGGCAAGCATATCAACTGGATGTGCTCATTCGCAACGAATGGGTTCTCCAGAACAAGCAAAGCTAAATTATGAAACAGAAGCTCGTGATGGAAGTTAGGATGAAAAATAACTTGTTCTACGCGTTGTTCCTGTGGGAAAGATAATACTTAATTGATTGCTTTAAATTGTCTTACACAGTTAAGCCTACCTGGTAATCAAGAACTTCGTTCTTTGTCATTATGTCCCATTCGCCTGCACGGGCAATCAAAGTTTCTGGGTTCTGGTTCATCACACAGTGCGCTGCGGTAAGTACTACATTAGGTGCAATCAATGATCCTCCACAAATATACTTTGAACTGGGTTCCGTTAGTTCTACTTGAGATTCTTCTGTCTGCATGATAGCGATCACCCATGGAAATTCACCAAACTCTGTTTCGTTTTGATTGGCATGAGTAATGTGGAAACCAATGCCATCTTGGTTTCTTATTCCACAATCACGGAACGTTTTAATGGGCGCCAGTTCACAGCCTTGCTTTATATCCCGAACTACAGGTATAACATCTTCCTTAGGACAACATACTTCTAGATAATGATTACACAGAACTTCCACATCATCGCTCGAAAACCTTGAAAAATAAATTAACGCAATGATGGAAGGAACAGCCCATTAAATTTGGTAAATACCTCAAATCCACGAAGTTGACTGATCCAAAATCACTTCTACACTGTGCCAGAGGTACACAAAGTCCATCACACTAAAAATAAGACCTTATTTAATTAAAAGAAAATCACAATTACCAAGATATTTGTTACAAACCGGGCTATTCGAAAATATTGTATCGGAAAATGCGAACGCTACCAAATATCCAAACAAAACAGCTTGAAAGTATAAAAATCGATCGTGTGATGTACTGAGCGGCATTTCGGAACTGAATAGAGAGCTGATTGTGCTGCGGTTTAAATGTGATTTTACTGTTTGAAAGCAAGTGAAAAGTATGGTGATGGAGAGCAAAAAACTGAATTAAACCAGCAATGGCGATTTCTACTCTCCTTACATATTCAAATTCTTATGAAGTATCAGAACATTTCCAGATGATATTATGATCTGACATAACCTTGTCTGAGCTACAAAATGGTGATTTGACAACCTGGAAGGAGCGGGGTACCTATCTCCAGTCCGCACAAGTCCCTACTTCACGCCTCCACGAGTATTATGATTACAAAAGACTACCAGCTGAAACCAGCTAATCCGACAATAGCAAAGTGAGGAGGTGCCGCGCTACACTGGTGCGGTAATTATGGCATGGCGGTGGATGAACCCATGCTTCACCAATCATCTGTCCACCACGGAGGTCCGGCTCAAACATTGGCTGAATAAGAAAAGCTCTTCCTCGGAAGCTACAGCTAAGATGGCAGCCCTACCACCTACTGTCACTGACATATATAAATTGTTACAGAAACCAACATAACCTTGATATTGGATGCTCGTATTAGTTTTCACTGAACTTGAATAATTTTTATTCAGTTAACGGAGAATTCGGACAAAATAGATTGCATACTGCAACACAACCACTTTGAACTTGATGAATTATAATTTTTATTTGAGTGTCTGAACAATCATGATGGACGAACGTGAGGTGGTTGAAAGGTGGAGGCGGCACTATGATGAATGCCTGAATAATCCAGTGGCGCAGGAATAGTTATGGCACATGAGAGAGGCTTGCCATCTCCCACGATAAGTAAACTGAAGGATGCTATCAAACAGCGAAGCCCGAGCTGAAGAAAATAACAAATGAATACCTAATTCTGACCTTTTACCAAAATTTGGTGTGGATCAACATGACATAAGAGGTAAAATACCAAAGAATAATATCAAATATTTGCATGCAAAATACTTTGTTAATAACAAAACTTGATGTTTGGGTACCAAAAGAATACCTGTGTGGTATTGTTTAGATATTGCATTGTCATAATTTGGTATTAGAGTGATCACTCGGCTGTCGACTGAAGCAGACCACTCTCAATGTGTGTCACGTGATCGTCTGTTTACTCGGCAGCAACCATTGTGTGGTCCTCTTCATTGTTCTTCATCAGCAGTTCTTTCAGTCGCTGCGTCGGGGTCCTGAAACTGAAACATATGCAACTCGACAAAAAGTGCGTTTGATTGAATTGATTTTCTCGTCCTTTTCAACCGATTCTTATGTCAAAAGGGCCGCTTGCATGTGTCGGTCTCAGGGCACTGAAATTTACATGTCTTTTTCGTAGTGTGTATGTAAAACAATAAGTGCACGTGAACTGCTCAACCGCGTGAGCTACGCGACGTCAGCACTTATCATAGAATAACGCTTTTAACTTTATTTTTTTAAAGTTTGTATCAATGTTCGGTGAACATGCTTCAAGCTGCATTTTGTTAAATATGTAGTTATTCGAGTTAGTTATCATGGAGCCTCTACTCTCTCATTGTAAGCAGTATCTAAGTGTTGATCAACACGGATTCACTTCCGGTCGTTCTACTTCCACAAATCTGCTGTGTTTGACATCGTATCTTACGGAAAGCATGGCAGAGAGGACTCAAACAGACGACACCGACTTGTCAGCTGCCTTCGATAAGCTAAACCATGCCATCGCGATTGCCAAGTTGCATAGACTTGGGGTCAGCGGCAACCCCTTGCGATGGTTTCGTTCATATCTCACTGATCGGCAACTGATGGTTGCCATTGGTGACAACCGGTCCAATATCTATCTAGCTACGTCAGGAATACCTCAAAGAAGTCACCTGGGACCTTTGATTTTCTTACTCTACTTCAATGACGTGAACTTGGTCATCGAAGGCCCACGACTATCGTATGCAGACGATCTTAAAATCTACCTACGAATCCACTCGATTGAGGACTGTCACTTCCTTCAACGTCAGTTTGAAGCCTTTGCCAGCTGGTGTAATTTGAACCGAAAGGTGGTTAACCCCACTAAGTGTTCAGTGATCACTTTTACTCGGAAGAAAGAACCAATCACATTTGAATACAAACTTATCGGCACTGTAATCGACCGTGTGAACCATGTGAAAGATCTGGGTGTTATTCTGGATTATCAACTTACGTACAAGCAGCACATCTCGTACGTTTGAAGTCACTGTACTGTTCCTTGGTGCGATCCATTCTGGAATATTGTTCTGTGGTCTGCAGTCCAAACTACAACAATGGTGCTGAGAGAGTTGAGTCCGTTAAACGCCGTTTTCTTCGATTCGCTCTGCGGAAGCTGCCTTGGAGAGATCCATTTCATCTGCCCATCTATGAAAGTCGTTGCCAGCTGATTGATCTGGAGCCTCTCCGAACTAGAAGAGACACCTCTAGGGCCCTGTTCATTGCGGACACTTTACAAGGTAGAATTGATTGCAGTGCAATTTTGGGCCAAGTCAACATTAACGTCCAACCCCGTGCGCTACGTAACAACGTTATGCTGAGATTGCCACTTCAGCGCACAAACTATGGCATGAACGGTGCAATAGGTGGGCTGCAACGAGTGTTCAATCGATTCTCGGGCATCTTCGATTTCCATATGCCTCGACAGCTGCTACGAAGATACTTCTCATCGTTCTTTTCTGGCACAGTCAACCGTGAATGATTGTGTGTTTTATTTATGTATTTTATTCTTAGTTTTTATTTTTTGACTTACCTATATAAGTTACTTAAATCATCGTTGGGGCTATGCACAGCCTGTTGATGCAGACAAATAAATAAATAAATAAATAAATTCTGTGCTACATTCATAATAATGAAACTAATTGGGCTAAAATTAAACTTTTTCAATTTTACAATCAACACCAATATTACGTGACAACTGACGTGCTGATAGCGGCGCCGGTGGTGTAGCGGTAAGCGTGATTACCTATCACCCCAGCAGGCCTGGGTTCAATCCCAGTCGGCGCCGCCGAGATGTTCTGAGGCATAACATCTCTGATCAACGCCTTCCTTCGGGAAGGAAGTAAAGCCGTTGGTCCCCGGTTCCATCAGTTGATGGGTCGATAGGTAGGATCCAGGTGTGGGAGCTTGCCTCCCTGGCGTCGGTAGCATTGGTGCTCAGCACGGAAAAACAAGATCGACGGAAAACAAATCAAGGATAAAAAACGCCCATTTCTAGACTAGCAACATGCTCTGATCGTCAAAACAAAATGACAGACTGTTTTATAGCAATGAATTAAGCACTTGTGATACAGTTTTTGTTTTGTCGCACGTCGTCTGATGTCGGCGTTGCAATGGTTTTCATACAGGGTATCCCAGAATGCCTAAGCGCGACTTTGGAACAACCCTGCGTGTTTCAGATGACGTTTAAGCAGCTGATTATCACGCTGAATCATTTTTTACATTTCGCCCAACAATTTTGTGTATCGCAAGTGTCGGTTCTTCACATTTCCGTGACAATACGAAGCTTTTCTCCAGAAAAGCGCAAACAGATCGTGCACAAATAGTGTACTATCCCCAACATTTCTCTGAGTCAATTAGAGAAACTGGAAGGTGTAAGCATCGAAGCCGTTCGAAATGCGTTTCGGAAGTATGGCGATGAAGCAACTTTCCAGGACAAGCACAAATCTGGACGTAAACTAAAATCTGATGACCGAGATCAGGACCGGAAAATCGTGCAAGCTTTCACTCACAAGAAAAGTGCTTCGGTTCGAGACGTGGCTAAAAAAGTGGGATCCTCGAAGAGTAACGTCCAGCAGGCCAGGGCAAGAATGGGTCTAAAGACGTATAAGGAGCAGAAGAAGCCAAAGCGGAATGAAAAACAAGCCGCATCCGTCAAACCGAGGGCTCGGAAGTTATACGACCAATTGTTGTGCGAAAAATAGGTGTGCGTGATTATTGACAATGTATCATACGTTAAATTTGATTACAAAACTCTTCCTGGTGATCAGTACTACACTGTTCGTGATGGCCGAAGTGTTGACGATGCGGATGAGTCGATTTTACTGAAAAATTCGGTAAAAAGCCTATGGTTTGGCAAGCCATTTGTGAGTGTGGTATGCTTTCCAAACGGTTTGTGACAAAGGAGACAATGACAACCGATATTTACGAGAGTGAATGTTTGAACGAGCGTCTGTTACCCATGATCCGCAAACACGACGCCTCAGTACTGTTTTGGCCGGATTTTGAGTCGGTTCATTACTTCAAGGACACGGTAGCCTGGTATAAAGCCAACAAGGTAAAATTTGTACCCAAGGAGATGAATCCGCCAAACTGTGCCCAGGCCAGGCCAATCGATACTTTTTGGTCCCTGACTAAAGCATATTTGCGGAAACATGTAAAGGCAGCCGATTCCGTTGCAAAGTTTGTGAAATACTGGGAAAAAGTATCCAAGATTGTTGGAAAGGCATCTTACAGTTGAACTGTAAGATAATACTATAGAGAAAATGAAAACGAAATAAAAATCGAATTTGCTGTAAACAGAGTTACGGTATCGTTTTTTTTTTTTAAATCGTGCTTAGACATTCTGGGACAAGCTG